GTCAGTTCTGTTTATTGCTTAATATTAAAAATCATGATGCTTCATTTTAATGCTAACATTTTATTTGAAAGACAAAAAAAATAATCCCCAAACCTTGCCAGTTTATATTTTACAATTTTTTTAAAGAAACAAAAGCAGTTGTATCATGGAACAAATCTTTTCAATATGAACTTGCATGAACAATTGCAGTATATCCACAAGTAAATAACTGACATTCTGGACTAAGCAAGAAATACAAGGTCACCTTTTTTTTTTCTACTTGTTAATGTCAATGTCAGAATTTTCTTTAAAACCCCCCATAACATTTCAGAAGTCGCTCACAAAATGAACTGCAAAATGGTATTTATATGAAGCACTATTTATAAGAAAAGCAAAACACTGACAGTGACAATTTTTTTCAAAAAATGCACATTTCTTATGTAGGAGTCTCATCTAAAATTAAGTGGAAGTTACAGACATCAAGTTCTTCTTCCTGAATATGTATAATCAAGAATTTTCTGCACTGTAGCTTCTTTGAGCTCTTCTTTATGGAAAGCCCTATGTGATACCATGAAAGAGCAAGCTACTATGAAAAATTTGATTTTAGATGCAAAAAATAATTCTTTTGATGACATTTTTAGCCAGGGATATTTTAAAGTAAGATTCTAGAAAGCAAAATGCCACCTGTTCTTCTTTAAAATGAAGGGCACCGATTATAGTACGTAAGCTTACCTGTTCACCTTGTTATTGTGGGTTTTGTATTTTTTGCTTATTTATCTGTTCACAAAATGTACATGTAAGTGGAATTATTTTACTCCTGTGATTATGTTAGACAAAAATGACAGAGGGCAGGGAATTACCCTGAGATAAAACAACATTAAAAAAAAAAACAAACAACAAAGCAAGCAGGAACAGAACAATACCTACTTTGGGGGGGTATCCTCTTTTGTAGCCTAATACGCTTGTTTTATAATAATCCCATATAATAATTCTTAGAGCTATTGTAACAAGATTGTACTATCCTTTTCAGTGAACGCCTCCTAGTAGCTGACCTTCACCTCCCGCAGGGTGCGTATTTGTTACCTGGCTAGGAGGGTGTTGTACTGAGAATGTTTTACAGAAAATGTTCCAGGAATACAGTGCCTCCATGGATCTGGTAATTTCCAGCTTTGCCCTGCATCAAGCCTAGGAGATGAAGCTCTTCATGCTTCTCGTACTTCATTATCATCTCTCTGGCCTTGAATTACTTGTGAGCCACCCTCTGTATAAATGACCATGCTTGTTAACTGTTCTTCTGCTCTATCAGGGGATACAGCTTCTGCTTTTATAGCAGTACCAGCCTGCAAAATCTCTTGAGACCCAGCTGTCTCTATCACAGCATGCGAGTACACACCAGGCTCATCCTGCATGTCTGGTGGCAATTCTGTGACGATGTAGTGGGTTGCACCTTCAGAGAAGTCGCCATCAGAACCCTGAACCATGGCTTGAGCTATTTCTTCTGTGACAATAATCTGTGATATTTCCCCATCCGACTCAACTAAATCCATGTGCTCGCTTTGGACACTGAGCGCATGGCTACCAGCTTCCTGCATAATTATCTGAGAGCCTTCTCTAGCTACCATATGCACAGTCCCTTCCTCATTTACAATGACCTGAGTGACACCTTCTTTCATCAGCTGGTCGGCTGCAGTCGTATCACATACAGCAAACCGTAATACTCCTTGGACCATTTTCTTGAAGGCAGCCTGAGCTCTCTCCTGAGATGCAATTATAGCCGATGGGTGCATGACCCGCGTCACTACTTCCATAGGTTTGGTATCTTCCTGAGTCTCTTGAACTTCATGGAACATTTGTATTTCTTGTCCCCCTGCATCACTGGGAATGCTGGGCGTCTCTGGGTTTGGCATTTGCAAGAAATCTTTGTGACTAGACCTGCATCTGTCAAGGAGTCCAGATTTGTTTTCCACTTCACCCAGCTCTGTTACAGCACAAAGCAGGGCATCTAATGCTGAGGAGGAGTCTGGAGGATGGACCGTAGCTTCAGAAGCATCTAAAACTTCTTGCCGCATTATCTGCTGCAGTACAGTGCTACTGGAGTCAGGAACTGCATCTATTTGAACGGCCTCCTCCATATCAGTTCCTGTTCCTTCAACCACTACCACCTGTGTTGCACCATCTGCTAACTGCTCGGTAAGTATCTGCCCTGGAACCATACTACTCACGTGTGAGCCATTTTGATTTGTAGCTATGACTTGCCCGTCTTCTGTAATATGGACCACCCTCGCCATCTGACCAGCCATTGCTAGAGTCTGAAGGGTAGCCGCTGCTGTTTCTTCCACAGAGGCATCAATTGCAAAGTCTCGATCGTATCCTTGAATAATAATAACTTGCTGAACTTCTTCAGGTGACTGTGGCTGTCTTCTACTGCCCCGAAAGACCTTCTCTTTAACTGGAGAAACCTCTCCCAGTGCTGCTGCAGTAAAAGGACTCGTAGTTTCCACAAAGGTTGCTCCTTGCCCCTTCAGTCGGCACTCATAGGACTTGGACACAATGCCTACAAGACAAAATATGCTGTTAACATGGTATCATGGCAAATATCAGTTCATTACTTTAACAAATTGTAGCTTAAATGGAAGAAAATTCCTTGACGATTTTTAGATTTCACTGGCAGAAAACACAGATAAAATGAGCAAGTGAACAAAAACAATTTGCATGTTTTCCAAATAACATATTTACAGGTTGAAATAATTGCTGAGTTTAACAATTCTGCAGCCTATTAACAATTTAAATGTGTTCTTTAAAATATGCTGTATAAAAAAGCCCAGATAAATACAGTACACAGTTAAAAGCCAGTAACACATCTTTTATAGAAGATCCTACTGGTGATATTTCAGTACTTCAGTGTATTGGGCTTGCGTGGCAAGGTTTTGGTAGTGGGGGGGGCTACAGGGGTGGCTTCTATGAGGAGATGCTAGAAGCTTCTCCTCTGTCCGGTAGAGCCAATGCCAGCTGGCTCCAAGATGGACCCGCTGCTGGCCAAGGCCGAGCCCATCAGCGATGATGGTAGCGCCTCTGTGATAACATATTTAAGAAGGGGAAAAAACTGCTGCGCAACAGCAGCCAGGAGAGAGAAGTGAGAATATGTGAGAGGAACAACTCTGCAGACACCAAGGTCAGTGAAGAAGGAGGGGCAGGAGGTGCTCTAGGTGCCGGGGCAGAGATTCCCCTGCAGCCCGTGGTGAAGACCATGGTGAGGCAGGCTGTCCCCCTGCAGCCCATGGAGGTTAATGGTGGAGCAGATATCCACCTGCAGCCCGTGGAGGACCCCATGCCAGAGCAGGTGGATGCCCGAAGGAGGCTGTGACCCTGGGGGAAGCCTGCACTAGAGCAGGCCCATGCTGGAGCAGTCTGTTCCTGAAGGACTGCACCCCATGGAAGGGACCCACGCTGGAGCAGTTCGTGAAGAACTGCAGCCCGTGGGAAGGACTCACGTTGGAGAAGTTCGTGGAGAAAAATCTCCTGTGGGAGGGACCCCACGTTGGAGCAAGGGAAGAGTGTGAGGAGGAAGGAGCGGCAGAGACAACGTGTGATGAACTGACTGCAACCCCCATTCCCCATCCCCCTGTGCCGCTCGGTGGGGGGAGGAGGTAGAGAAAATCAGGAGTGAAGTTGAGCCTGGGAAGAAGGGAGGGTGGGGGAAGGTGTTTTAAGATTCGGTTTTATTTCTCATTACCCTACTCTGATTTGATTGGTAATAAATTAAACTAATTTCCCCAAGTCAAGTCTGTTTTGCCCGTGGTGGTAATTGGTGAGTGGTCTCTCCCTGTCCTTATCTCGACCCACGAGCCTTTCTTTATATTTTCTCTCCCCTGTCCAGCTGAGGAGGGGGAGTGATAGAGAGGCTTTGGTGGGCACTTGGCGTCCAGCCAGGGTCAACCCACCACATTCAGTAATGAATTTTAGGATCGTATATTACATTAAACATATCTGGGTGTGAAAAACTGTGGCTGATCTTCTTAATACCCTGCTTTTGTTGGTGAGGTAATTGCCATGCTGTCATTTTGATGCCATTGTCTTCCCCTTCATTTCCCACCTAGCATCTTCTCCAGCACACCTGACTTAGTCACTAGCCTAGTTACCTGGGGAAAACACTTGGTAGTTTTCTTACCCTAAGCAGGATATTCTATAAAATATCATCCAGAGAAACCTCAATTACACTTCTTAATTATTTCTACATGAAATCAATTAACAAATTAAAATACTTGTAACCTCCACATTCCAACTGCTTGCTCTGCCACTCGCTCTGGTTTTGGGTCATTGAAAAGTTTCCTTCTCAGTTCTCATCACTAACAATGAAGCTTCAGCAAAGCAAATCATGCCCACAGCTGCACAAAATCAAGCCCACCATCCTCCAAGCATGGCCTCAGGGTTGCCTTCAGCATTTTTGGGCAGACATAACTGAGAGCACCCTGTGACCAGCTTTGTGGATGTCTGTGGCAGAACAGCTCTAGCACTCGCTGTCTCCCTGTGGCAGTGCCATCCTGAGGCACCCCTGCAGCTCCTGCAGGTGCGGGTAAGTGAGCTTTGGGCCACAACCAGTGCACACAGAGAGAAGAATGGGTCCCGGACACTGAGCATGAGGTGAGGGTCTAATGCCAGATGGGCCTTGGGAAGGCTGATTAAGTCTGTGCTGCTGAGACTACTCACACCCATGCTCTAGTTTAAGTTCACCTACACAAACTGAAATCACACCTCTGGAATAACAGGAAGAAAAGGAAGAAAAAAAATTGACTCTTACAGTCAACTTCCAGGCTAGCACTGTACTTTCCAAGCCACCAAGACACTTCTAGTGAACAACATGCTCCGTTGAACTCAAGAGGCCAAGAAAATTATACTGAAGCTGGTCTAAGGGGGCTCTTTCACCCAAAGCATAGCACTGTCAGGCCCTGATCCCACAGAGAACTAAACTGGGCTCTAAAGACCAGAGACTCGTTTGCTTAAAGGTCAGTTCACACTTAGGAGCTGTGTTACTCTGAGACTGAGTACTTGGCATCTTGCACCATCTAGCAACTTGATATGCTAAGGTGCATATCAAGCTAATATTCCAAGATAACACCAATGCTTAAAAGACTGAGCTCTTGCTGGCATCTATCTATCTATCTATCTATCTATCTATCTATCTATCTCTATCTATCTATCTATCTATCTATCTTTTCTTCTATTACAAAGCTTCTGGTGGAGAACTGTACTGTGAAGCACGAGAAGTAATTTTGTTAAGCTGAAAGGCTGCAAATCACCTTCACAAGTCTAAACTGATGTTATACAACTTTCTCCATCTTAGTTTGCAAGGCAGGTTATCTTTGGAAAAGAAAATTAACAATTTAAACCATTAGAGTGTTTCCAAGTGATGCTGCATGATAAATCTGGCACATGCAATTGTAGTACATTTTGTCAGGCATAAGTGAGAAGGAAGCTTACTGCGGTACGACTGGTTCTTATCCCCACTTTTCCTGTGCTCTCTGTAGGCACTGACATTCACAAGACCCCCCAAAGAGCAGAAAAATAGGAAGGGGAAATCAACATAAAGTGACAATTATCTTAGCTCTTCCACATTTTATAATAGAGTAGAAGTAATTAATTCTCTCAGGAATCTTGCTTTGTTGACATGATAAAAGAGGAGCCTGGCAGTGATGTGGCACAAAATCAAAATAACTCTACAAATCATGCATTTTCCACTGGATTTCAAAATCAAAATAACTCTACGATCATAATTTTCACAGGCGCACAGCAAAATCATGACATCTTTCCCCTAAGATCATGATAATTTATGTACAGGCCACAGCATCACTGCACTGAGGAGAAGCTCCGATCTGGGGAAGGGAAAGAAAAAGGAAATTCATCCTGTTTTCATCTCCTCAAACAAACGCTGTGCCCGTGAATCTATGCAACTCCAGTCTTTACTGTGCAATTGAATGGGAAGTCTCCTGGGTGAAGAGCTATCCGGTGAATCCCTCGCAGCACTGATAATTATGCCATTCTGACTGCTTACTTAATCTATTTGAATCCAGAGGTGAGTTAAGCCACTTCCTGACCATTAAAGTAAACTACATGGGTAAATACTGCTGTCACTAAGGGGTGTGATGAAGCTTAACTACACCAACATCTTAACCTCAGCTCAGTGCAACCCCAGCTATTCCATCACAGTTCATAAATGCGATTGCAGGTCCATCTTTTGATTCAGCAATTTAATAACTTCGAGTGCTGTCAGTACTGCTTTGAAAAATGGCTCCTATAAAATGTAACAGCCTCAATCAGATTGTAAAAGATTCACCCACTGAAGATTCTTCCATTTCAACTATAATGAATTAATGTTGAGCTGTGTAGAAGTTCAAGTGTCATTTAAACTAATGTGAATCTACTGTAACTTTAAATTTTAACTGGACTATGACCAAGAATTTACTGGGAACATCAACTTCAATTTTAGTGATTTTTCATGGTAAATATGAATTGCAGATTTTACTGGTTTTCTTTTGTTTTAACAGTGAAAAGCCAAGTAGGGAAGATATTTAGAAAACAACATATTTTGAGGCTTAGCTGCTATTTCGACTTTGGAACAGTGCATTTCTATAATGGAGCACTGCTATCCAACACAACATTTGTAGGAATTTTTATGTATTTAAGGAACATGTCACATTATTGGACTGTATGTAGCAACAAATCACGTTGTCCTACTAAATCCAGCCTGCCTCTCGCCCCCTCTTAAAAACGGGTAAAGAGAAGGGGTAAGTGTTGGCTGACATGGCAAACATAAGCTGCAATACAAGCCCACATTAATATTAGGAAAAGTGGACTTGTTGCTGATTGCATGTCATTGCAAATTAAAAAGATACACAAATAGGCATTAAAATGACAAAATATAATGATAGGAGAGCTCATATTCGGACAATTTGTAAAGAGGTGTTTCATATCTAGGGGTGCAATGATCACAGAATTGGTTTCTTTCCAAGAAGTCTGTCATTTCAGCAGAGCCATTATTTATCAGTTGGAGTCCTGAGCAACTGTTAGTTTTTTATTTGAAAATGTCAGGATTTTTTAGACATTAAAACCATATTGTCAGGTTATTTTAATTCTCAGAGACCACAAACTCCTGAAATAGGGCTAAAAGAAATGCTTTGATGTTTAATGTGCTTCTGGGAAACTACAAATAGGGCTTAGTACCTTTTTCCCTCTCTTTTACTCAATACCTGACTTTCTTTTGTGTGTCTGTTTTATTCTTTTGTTACTGTCATCATTTGTTCCCCACAGAATAAATACCTTCTTCTTTTGTTAAGCTTACATTTAATTAAAATGTACAGGATTTGTGCAGTAAACTCGAATGAAACAAATAAAACAAGGGCCCCCTCTCTTGAAGGCATACGTTGTGAATGAAAAATGTCATTACAGACTAAAAAATTTTGCAGTAAACAGGGCCTACAGAGAGAAGTTTCCCCCGTAATGACATCCATAAAATACACAAATGGCACTTTTAGTACCATCCTGAATATGGCATTTTCT